GAGGTTTAAGTTAAAAATTATTTTCCTGTAAAAATAATTTTAGCGTGACGAAGTGACTTTGTGCACTTAATTCTGCTCTTAGCCTTGATGGTAGAACTGGTGCTTCAGGGAAATACAGTGAGAGAGGAAGTCATGGCATAGTTTATATAAGGAAACCCCTCCTCCAGGCCTTCCCCTCCCCCTTCCTTGTAGGGCCTCCTGCATACTAAGCAGGCGTTCTAGCACAGGTTTAGCCTCAGTCCCTAGAATGCTTTTCAAAAAAAAAAAAAAAAAAACCATATTTTGATCATATTCTTTCCCAGATCCTCCACCTCCTTACCCACCCAGTTTCATGTGCTCTCTCTCTCTCCTCCTCTCTCTCACACAGAAATAAATAGGAAACAATAACAACAACAACAAACCCAAAAATCAAAACAGACAAACTTTAAAAAAAAAATCAATGAAACAAGAAAACAAAATGCCCACCAAAAAAACCCAAAAATAAACAGCCAAAGCAACAAAACAAAAAACATGGAGTCTGTTTTGTGTTTTGTGTGCCTCCTGGGCAGGGCGTCTGCTCTGGCGTGTGGTTGATAAGCCCAGCGACACTCCACAGGAAAACAGATTACAAATGTTCCTTTCCCAGCAGGCATCAATTGCAAAATAGTTCTGTTGTTGTTTCTTTCTTTCTACTCTTTTAGGGGTCCACTGCCCAGCTCCCAAATAAATCACACATGGAGGCTTATTCTTAATTACGAATGCCTGGCCTTGGCTTGGCTTAGTTTCTAGCTGGCTTTTCTTAACTGAAATGATCCCATCTACCTTTTGCCTCTGGGCTTTTGCGTTCTCTTCTGTAAATCTTACTCTCACTCCATGGCTTGCTGTGTAGCTGGGTGGCTGGCCCCTGGGGTCCTCCTCCTGCTTTGGCTACTTCTTTCTTTTCTCCTCCCAGATTTCTCCTATTTATACTCTGTCTTGCCAGCCCCTCCTACCCTTTCTCCTGCCTCGCTATTGGCCGTTCAGCTCTTTATTGAGCCATCAGGTGTTTTAGACAGACACAGTAACACAACTTCACAGAGTTAAACAAATGCAGCATAGACAAAAGTAACACACCTTAAAATAATATTCTACAACATAGTTCTTGGCTAAGGGTGGGACCCAGTGTCTACTTCCCTTCCTCAGAGCTGGGCTTCTGTCTGGATTGAACCTGTGATGCAGGTCTTGTGCAGGCTCTCACAGTCTCTGAGAGCTCCCGTGTGTGTGTGTGTGTGTGTGTGTGTGTGTGTGTGTGTGTGTGTGTGTGTCCGTCCGTCCGTCGTATAGCGTCTGGAAGGTGCAGTTTCCTTGCGGTCCTCCACCACCTATGGCTCTTCCAGGCTCGGGCACAGCGGTGAGGAAGGCTGATGAGCACACCCCTTTAAGAGCTGATGTATTGTTTTGTTCTTCTGTATCTCGGTGCGGGCACAGTCTGTCCTGATGTTCTGCATGTTGTGGGCTGTCTGGGTTTCCCTGCTGTTCACAGGATGTATCTGCCATCTGACCCGGAGAGGCGAGTCTTCCCATACTTACTTTGGAAGCGGGAGGGAGGCCAGACGGGGCTTTCCTTCTCTGAGTCCTCTCTGTTTGTCACCAGGTCTGGAGTCTTCACATGCCACCCCCACAGTGAACTTCCCAAACACCTGCTTGCTGTGTTCCCTCTCATTCACTAAATCCATTGACATGAAATCCAAACCTCACCCTTCTTTTCTTGGTTTTTTCGATCCTGAGTTTACTTACTCCAGTGGGTGTTGAGGTTTCTTCCTAGTGGTGGTGTTTGCTTTTGTTGTTACAGGGTCTCTGTCACCCAAGCTAGTCTTGAACTCCCTAGGTAGCCAAGGATGACTTTGAACCTCCAGCCCTCCAGTTCTACCTCCCAGGTGATGGGACTCCAGGCAGGCACCGCCATTCCCGGTTTCTGAGTGCTGGAGACCAAACCCAGGACTTCATGCATAGTAGGCAAGGACCCTTTCAGTTGGCTGTGTCCTCGGATTCCCAAATTGCCTTCTTCTAATTTTTGTTTGTTAACATCTGTTAAAGTGTCACAACAGAAAATAATATTTAATTAGAAATGTATAGAAGTATCTAGACTATTTCTCTTTGCCCCATTTTTTGTAATCTAAAACCTACAAAACCACACTCTTTTACTTGTATAAGCACTCTAAAATGTTTGGTCTTAAGATCCAGTTACTAAAATCATGATTTATTAACCCCCAACATGTAGAACAATGGCTCTCAATGAAGGATAGCCTCCCACAGAGCATTAAATATGCTTAGATAACCTTGTTGGTGACAACTAGGTACTGCTGTCATCCGGGTAAAGGTTACGGTTGCTGCTACCCATAACACAGGCCCGACAACAAAGACTCACCTATTCCCAAATGTAAGCCAAGACGCCAAGTCCAAGAAACCTGTGTAGAATTAGCAGCTTTGTGTGTGTGTGTGTTTGTCTGTCTGTCTGTCTGTCTGTATCTGTGTGTATCTGTGTGTCTGTGATGTATAGTATCTACATGCATCTATTAGGATCCTTCTTTTAGTTTTAACTTATTTTTTTTTTAAATATCACACACACACACACACACACACACACACACACACACACACACACACACTCTATCTCCAAGGCAGTCCTGTACTTGATTCCCATTCTGTATTTGTTTTCAGTTTCTCTGCAAGTGTCTTTTACATGTGCTGTTCTTACTATTCTTTTCTGCTCCCTTTCCTTTGTTTCTGAGGCAGAGTTTCACACAATGACCCAGTGTATTGGTTACTTTTCTGTTGCTATGATTAGGGTTTCACACAATGGCCCAGTGTATTGGTTACTTTTCTGTTGTTGTGCTAAAACACCAGAACCGCAGCAACTTAGAGAAGAAAGGGTTTATTTGGGCCGTGGCTCCAGAGGCATGAGAGTCCACCACCTCAGGGAGGCAGGGCAGCAGGGGCAGAAGCTGAGAGCTCATGTCTCCTTTTGCAAAGGGGAAGCAGCAAGGGAACTGGAAGTGGATAGCAGCTACCATCTGAAAGCCCGCCCCCTAGTGGTGAGTTCCCAACGGCAAGCCTGTCCACCCAAGCCTCGGCAAACAGCGCCACCAACTGGGAACCCAGTGTTCAGATCCCCAAGCCTGTGGGGGACATTTCCTTTTCAAACTGTCATACCCAGCGAGGCCTCGAATGCACTATGAAGCTCAGGCATTAAGAATGATAGCGTTACAGTTGTGAGCTGCTGTTCCTGGTTCAGACAAACAAATTTCAGGGAACTTTTGAAAAAGAAAGAAAAAAAAAAGCTCCCCCTCCCCCAGGATCTTAGAAAATGGTCACTTAAAATTTTAAGTTGTTTTGGTATTGTTTGTTTGTTTATTTAGAGACAGAATCTCACTGTGTACCCTGGCTGGCCTAGAACTCATGGAGTACTGTCTGCCTTTGCTTCCTGAGTGCCGGGATTAAAGGTGTGCCCACCCATGCCCACTCAAAATACTGTCACTTTTGATCAGTGTTTTTGAATTGTAATTGTGGTATTTTATGTTGTTTTTTGTTGGTTTTTCTGTTTTGTTTTGGTGGTTTTTTCCTCTTTGACTTGTACTTCACTAGTAATCTGTGAGCAAGACAGTCTTTTTTGTTGTTGGTTTTTGAGGCAGGTTTTTCTGTGTAGCCCTAACTGCCCTAGAACTCACTCTGTAGACCAGGCTGGGCCTTGAACTCACAGAGATTCACCTGCCTCTGCCTCCCAAGTGCTGGGATTAAAGGCATGCACCACCGCCGCCCGAGATGATCTTGTTTCCTGATTGTGTATGTGATGTTTGGGATTGCATGTTTGAGTGTTAGGCTTAGAGTAAAATTTTTTTTTTTTTTTTTTTTTTTTGGTTTTTCGAGACAGGGTTTCTCTGAGTAGCTTTGCGCCTTTCCTGGAACTCACTTGGTAGCCCAGGCTGGCCTCGAACTCACAGAGATCCGCCTGGCTCTGCCTCCCGAATGCTGGGATTAAAGGCATGTGCCACCACCGCCCGGCCCAAAATTTTTTTTTTTAAATAATTTACTTACTTTATTTTATGGGCATTGATGTTTTGCCTACAGGTATGTCTGTGTGAGAATGTCAGATCTTGGAGTTACACATAGTTGCAAACTGCTATGTCGGTGCTGGGAATTGAACCTAGATCCTCTGGAAGAGCAATCAGTGCTTTTAACCACTGAGCCATCGCTCCAGCCCCTTAGAGTGAAATTTTTAAGCCAGTGGAAAAATTTTTTTAAAGAATTTATCATTCATTCTTCCACCTTGGATAGCCTTACTTTTTCTCAGAGCTCAAGAAGCTGAGGCAGATCCATCTCTGTGAGTTCGAGTCCAGCCAGTACCACCTAGTTATGACCTTTCTCAAAACAAAAGATTCTCATTTAAGTCACACTCAGGGCTCCATTAGAAGAATGATGCCAGACCTCAAGGTCCATGAATGTGTAGACCTTTACTTTGCCCCTGTTCTACAGAAGTTATTTGTGTTTAAAATTGAACTAACCTTCAGAGTAGTTCCAGTGAAGGTAGGTTGGTTACATCCTCATGTGAATGTGCATTATTTCCAACTCTCCTGCAGATCACCGCTTGAGTCTCACTGTTATGCTGGGCTGTATGGGGATGACTGAAGACCTCTTGTGTATGATTACCTCAATGCTTTTGTAGATCGAGAATTTCACTGTTAGTCTGAAGGTTTCATTGAGTTTTTTTAATTGAATGATTAGGAAGAGCCATTGAAGTGTCTGTTGTAATGATTGGCTGTCTAGTAACATCGCTGGAACCGGCTGGCCTCTGTAAATGCCCGTAAATGTGGCTTTATTGTACAGATTACCTGAGAGCAGGACTGCAAAGCTGGTCTGGAGAGTTTAAATATGTCCCCCGCTGCCATCTAGACTTTCATCTACCCTTAGAGTTTGAATATGGCTAACTTGTGTATGTAATCACTGTGAATGTAATGTCTGTTGTGCGGTCTTTTCTTTAACAGGGGGAAATGCAGTGTGGCCCTGCTGAACGAAACAGAATCGGTGCTGTCCTACCTTGACAAAGAGGTAATTTGCAGTCCTTTCCACTTTGTGTTTTCTCCCTGTTACTTCACTTGAAGCCCATACCGTGGACTTTATTTCATTTGGTGCCTGAGTGTTGTTTTGCCATCTCGGCAAGAGGGCCGGCTGGAGTGCATTGTCCTGGCTGAAGGCCGAGTTAGCAAAAGCCACAGCTCTTTGTCACTTGCCAGTGAGAGGCTTCCTGAAGTACAGCTCAGGGTGTAGATGAGGATGTTTATCTCCGATTCTCATTCCTTCTCCCTGTGGTCTGTTTTTGAATAAATACCTCTCACTCTAGCGGCTCCACAGAATTCATAAGAACAGGCGGCCAGGCCACTGTGCTTATTAACTCTAGGGAGCTGGAGCCTTTTAGTTTTAAAAAATTAACTTATTATTATTGTATGTGTGTGCGCTTGCTCACATGCATATGTATGTGATAGGAGAGGAGCGGACACAGATGCCACTGTATGTATCTGGAGGTCAGAGGACAACTCAGAGTCATTTCTCTCCTGTTACCATTTTGTGTGGGTCCCAGGGATCAAACTCAGGATTAGTCTTTTGCTGTAAGCACCTTTACCCTCTGAGCCCTCTTGCCGGCCCTACTGAGCTTTTGAAGGAACCTATGGGATGTTTAATGTGTAGGTTGGTGGTAATCGTGTGTTTAGTTATGCTTGTGTCTATCTGTAGACAGAGGCTTTTCTTTTTCCCACCCCGTCCCGCAGCCTCTTCCAAATAATAACTCAGAGGCTTGTATTAATAATAAATGGTTGGCTGGTAGCTCAGGCTTCTTACTGACTAGTTCTTACATTTACATTAACCCATAATTCTTACCTATGTTTAGCCACATGGTACCTTTTCTCAGTATGGCATTTCTCATCTCGCTTCCTCTGTATCTGCCAGCAACTCTGACTCTGCCCTTCCTCTTCCCAGAATTCTCCTAGTCTGGCTCTTGCACTCAATCTCTTCCTGCCCAGCAGCTATCAGCCAATCAGCTTTATTATTAACAATGAGCATAGTCCACAGCATCTGTCTTTATGCACATGACGATACATTACAATTTAAAAGAGAATGACAGAATTACCATAATAATTTAATGGGGTTTATATAGTGATATTAACAAAGAGATGGCTCAGCGGTTAAGAACACTTGATGCTCTTGTAAAGGACCTGGATTTCATTGCCAGCACCCACGTGGTAGCTTACAACCATCTGTAACTCCAGTTCCAGGGGATCTGGTGCCCTTTCCTGGCCCCTGTGGGCTCCAGGCATGCATGTGATGCACAGGCATACATGCAGGCAAACACTGATGCACATAAACTAAAAATAAACACATCTTAAAAAAGTGCATCTAAGTGCCACTCTTGTATATTTAGTTGATATGTGGGATGTTTATTTGTTTCTTCTGTTCCTGAGATAGTCTCACTGTGTATCCCTGGCTGGCCAGGAACTCAAAGAGATCCTCCTGCCTCTGTCTCCTGAGTGCTGAGACTAAAGATGTGTGCCACCACGCTCCAGCTTCATTTTGCTTTTGAAACAGGGTTTTTTCTGTGTAGCTCAGACTGGCCTGAAAGGGACGCTCCTGCCTCAGCCTCCCTGCTAGCCATCCCAGCTAGCCTCTCAGAATGCAAACAAATTGTAAAATTTCATATTCTTCTTAAGGTTGTTTGTTTTGGCTTTATGTAATTTTGTGCTAGTATACATGATGACAGTATTGCCATGGTCTCCTTGAAGGTTTATTAATGTGTTCACTAAAATGGACTTTTATATACTCGGAAGTTAAAGTTAGTTTTCATTTTTGTGATATGGATTTGATTGCTCTATAAAAAGTAGAAGGAATCCGGCTCACTTAGGTGTTTCCTGTCATTTTCTTTTCCCCCAGGATGCTTTCTTCTACTCGTTGGTGTACGACCCTTCAGTGAAGACGTTATTGGCTGACAAGGGTGAAATCAGAGTGGGTCCAAAGTACCAGGCTGACATTCCAGACATGCTCCCCGAAGGTGCGTGCCGCGGCTTCAAGTCCCGGGAACCGGTGTCTTAAAACGTGAAGGTTCTTGTGGTCAGGGAAGAAGAAGAAGTGTAAATGGAGAGTTGAACAACTTTAGAGACATAATACTTACTCCTTCATGACTTCACATTTGTTTGTTTTCACAGGTGTGGCTTTTTGTGGTGTGTGTGTGTGTGTTCCACACATGCATGTGTGTGAGCGTGGGGTGGTAGGCCAGGGGTCAACATTGAGCAGGGGCCTGTCTCCTTATCTTTTGAGGCAGGGTCTTTAACCGAGCTGGAGCCTGCTAATTTCACTGGACTGGCAGGCCGGCCAGCCCCGGGGGTCACCCCGAGCCTCCCCTCAGTGCTGCATTCCAGGCATGCGCCGCTGTGTCCGGCTTCTTCTTTTATATGGGTGCTGGGGAGGATGATCCTTGTGTGTGTGTGTGTGTGTGTGTGTGTGTGTGTGTGGCAAGCATTTTCGCCCCCTGAGCTGTCCCTCAGGCTCTCTGGCTGTGTTTAAGCATTAGATTGTTAGTGTTGTGTCGGGTGTGGTGGCGTGTGCCTTTAAGTCCTTGGGAGGCAGAGACAGGCTGATCTATGTTAGTTTGAGGGTAGCCTGATCTACAGAGTGAGTTCCAGGCCCGCCTAGCCAAGGCTACATAGACCCTTCTCAAAAAACAACAACAAAAACAAAAAAGTGCAAACTTGGTTTGTTTGTTTTTTGAGACAGGGTTTCTCCGTGTATCTTTGGCTGTCCTGGATCTCACTCTGTAGACCAGGCTGGCCTTGAACTCACAGAGATCCGCCTGCCTCTGCCTCCTGAGTGCTGGGTTTAAAGGGGTGCGCCACCACCGCAAACTATTAGTGTTGTGGACCTTTGCTTTAATGTGTTATTCATATTCATTCCTATTCTCCCTCTCATTCTCTGAATCCCCCACCCCACCCCACCCCACCCCAGAAGATCGGGGCCTGATGTATATCCTAGACAAGCACTCTACCAACTGAGCTGTATTCCCAGACCTCTGTCCTGAGATTCATAGACATCTCTAAGCTGTCTAGCTCAGCCGGCAATGGACTCTAGTGAGCAGTTACAGTTCTTTGAGAATTTGGCCGATCTGTATGTAGTTCGTGTAACTGAGAGATTCACTGTTACAAACTTAAAAAAAAAAAAAATCTTTTATTAGATTTATCTAATAAATATGTATTGTATGGATTGTGTGAGTAAATGTCACACGTGTGTGGGTGCCTGAGGGTCCAGAAGAAGGCATAGGATCCCCTGGTACTGGAATTACAGGTGACTTTGTGCACTGTTTGATATACTGGGAACTGACTGGGGTCCTCTCAAGGAGCAGGAAGTGTTCCTAACCACTGAGTAATCTCTACCCCAAAGTTTCATAATGAAGCAGATCTTTGTAGAGAGATGTGCTTTTCTTTATCTTTGCTTTGCTTATTTTTAAAGTTATTACTGGTTGTCTTTATTTCTGTTCATCTTTTACAGAAAACACCATGTTTGTAGATTTTAGAGCAGTGATTCTCAGCCTGTGGGTCACAACGACCTTTCCACAGGAGTGGCCTAAGACCATCTGCATATCAGATTTTTGCATTATGATTCATAACAGTAGCAAAATTGCAGTTATGAAGTAGCAATGAAATAATTTTATGGTTGGGGGGGTCACCACAATGTGAGGAACTGTATTAAAGGGTCGCAGCATCAGGCAAGTTGAGAACCACTGTTATAGAGAAAAATGCTGTTTAAAATTTTTTATTGCATTTTTATTTAGCGTGTGTGTTTGCATGTATGTGCATGTGTATTCATGCCAAAGCTGTGTGTGGAGGTCAGAGAGCAACTTCTGCCATGTAGGTCGTGAGGATTCAAATTCAAGTTGTTAGGCATCTCACTAGCCTAACGTGGCATTTAAAAAAAATCACAAATGAAGTCATTTGGATTCTTGTTGCGGCCTCGGGCATATTCACATGTTTCTTCTCATGTGTAATTGAGCAGTCAACTTGATGTGTGGTTTTAAAAAAACCTTCTTTTTCTTTTTGAGTTTTTTTTTCCTTTTTGTATGAGTGTGTGTGTGTGTGTGTGTGTGTGTAGCCTTCGCTGTCCCAGAACTCACTCTACAGAGACCAAGCTGGCCTCGAACTCACAGAGATCCTCCTGCCTCAGCCTCCAGAGTGCCGGGATTAAAGATGTGCACCAACGCTGCCCGGCCAGAACCTTCTTTCTAGTTAGTATCTGTTAGGGGAAAGGACCTTAAGCATTCACAACAGATGTATAAAGTCACGAACATGAGCCTGGTGTGAGCGTATGCTTGCTGGAAACCCAGCCCTCGTGAGTCCCATCCTGAATTACACGGCAAGGCTGTCTCTTGAAAAATAAAGCAGCAGGCAAACAAGTGTGACACACACGGCAGACATCGCCACCACGCAGCAGTGTAGACCCGAGGTGCCTGGTTGCAGGACAAATAAACAGTGGAAAGCGTTATATTTGAGAACGAGTGTTTGTGCTGCAGTCAGAGCTTCCTGAGCCCGTTGACAATCTCCAGTGGGTGTGTTTGGACCAGTGGCCAGGTCACAATTTGCTTTGGATTGGGAGGCGGACCCTGGAGCGGTATCCTGGGTAGGTGGCAGCAGCAGCCGCTTGTCCAAATCCGATACAGGCGCGCTTTCTTTGTGAACACGTCCGGATGGACTCTAGAAGACCGCTGTGGTGTTTTAGGATTCACTTGCCGCTCACCATCCCTTAACAAACACTTCAGATCTGGGCTGATGAGTGTGTAGCTTGAAAATTGTTAGGGTCCCAGAGGAGCCCCCAAGAAAGACCAACAGTCACGTATGCAATTTAGCAAGAGCGTTTACTCCCAGCATGTTGGGGTGGCAAATAGCGACCCCAAAGGGGGGGGTCGCAAGCTCCTTTTAAGCAGCGTTAGGGCAATTCCAGGGAGGAGGGCTTAATCTGGTGCTGATTGGTGGAGGCAAGATTAGTCTGGGAGCTGATTGGTGGGAGGCTGTAGTGGTTAGGGGCCCATTGGTGGTGATGGGGGCGGGGCTAGTGTCTAGGGACTTGTTGCGGAGAGGGTAGGGAAAGCTATCTGTAGCTAGCAGAAGTCTGGGGGCATGTGCTGGGCCAGCAGGAGGGGCTTGGGGGCGCCTGCTATGCCGGCAGGAGGCTGGGGGTGGGGGCACCCGTTGATTGGTTGCCCCTAAGTTGTGGTTTTCCTGAGAATTGCTTGCTCAGCTCCAGCTCATTCTACTGAACTGAAACCAAGGCCTGGTCCATATCAGGGCTCCGGGGAGCCTGTGGTTTGGCCGCCTGGTCCTCTCAAAAATGAAGATAGAGATTAGATTTTAAATATTCCATTAAATTCAGATAGACCACCTAGTGTGAGTTTTCCATGGAAAAATATATTACGTAGGAAATTTTAAATTATTATTTGAATGTATTATTTACTGGGCGCAAGAAGGGACCACGAAACTGAACAAAACCCACTTTAAGAGTTTTATTAGAGAGGGATAGGAAAGATGGGGAGTGAGCAGGCCTGCCAGAGAGAAATGTGTGGAAGCGGGGGGGGGGGGGGGGGGGGGGGGGGGGGGGGTGTGGGGGGGGGGGGTGGTGGGGGGGGTGGGGGGGGGGTGGAGTCTGCTTTTAAGAATCACCTTGCGCCTATGTATAGGGTTTACATAACCATGCTACGCATGCACATGGATTATGTGGCCATGCTGCACATGGATTATGTAGGATGTAAGGCCCTGGAGTGACTAAGCATTTTGCCTGAATGTGGGCCATGGGACTCCGGAAGCAGCTAGGGTGTCAGGAAAGATAACTAGAATTTGAAGAAAGAAGTCTATTCTATAGATGATATTTTGTTAAATGGTTAAACTAAGATTGACCCTGGAATCCCAGATTTTGGTAAAACGTGGGTAATAGGTCCTAACTATAACCTTGGGAAATGGTTTGACCCATCTGAGTTAACCTTTTCTTTCCCTTTAAAGAAAGAGTATTTGGGCCTGGCTGTGGGGATCCCACCTTTAATCCCGCACCCAGAAGGCAGAGGCAGGTGGATCTCTGGGAATTCAAGGCCAGCCTGGTTTACAGAATGAGTTCCAGGATAGGCTCCAAAGCTACACAGAGAAACCCTGTCTTGAAAAAAAGGAAGGAAGGAAGGAAGGAAGAAAGAAAGAACGAAAGAGAAAAGAAAAGAAAGAGTATGTGGTTGTGCCTTTGGCATTGGGATGAGTGGGTGATGTACCTGGCAGCAGTGGACTGTGAATTTCCGAGGGGGCTTCTCTTTTGAGGGCTAATTAATTGGTGTATATTTTATGTGTTTTAAAAACAAGATGGGCTCAGCTGTAGTCATGAATTAGGACACTGTCAGCAGATAGTGGTGTAGGAACAGTGCCCTTCCCTGCGGGGAAGCAGTGCTCAGGGAGCGCACGCCTCCCGGAGGCTGACTCTGTGGCCCCAGAATCTGCAAGCACTGCTCCGCTAGGGAAGAGCCACATGGGAAGCTTGGCTTTGCTGAAGGGAAAACACTCCTGCACCTTGGATTCGATTTTTCATTCCACTCAGACTCTGTGCTAGAATCGCCCTCTCACTAGCCTCCAGGGGTCGAGGTTTAAGGAGATAAAGATCGACCGACCTTTGTGCTCCGTGCAAATGTCACAGTGGAGCCTTGGTTTGGGCAGTGTTTCAGCTTTGGCTCTTACTATTTACTCATTTAATGCTCCAAGGACAAGTTCCCGGGATTTTGAAAGTTCTGTCCATTTCCCTGTAAACCTTGTTATTTCCTCCTCCTCCTCCTCCTCCTCCTCCTCCTCCTCCTCCTCCTCCTCCTCCTCCTCCTCCTCTCTCTCTCTCTCTCTCTCTCTCTCTCTCTCTCTCTCACACACACACACACACACACACACACACACACACACACACACACCCTGGACAAGTGCTCACCCAATGAACTACAAATCCCAGCTCACCCTGTTGTTTGTTTACAAAGCCTTACTGTAGACTGCAGATCTCCCACTGCTGTGTTAGAAGCCGGCAGCAGCGGGCTTCAGTAGGAATCTCATGCTGGGTATGGGGGGAAAAAGCCTGGTGCCAGCCTGGAGCCCTCGCCTCCAGGAAAGAGACTTTACAGTTTGGTTTGCTTTTTGAGCGGGATCTCACTGTGTAGCCTCCGCTGTCCTGGAACCCTCAGAGATCCACCTGCCCCTGCCTGCCCAGTGCTGGGATTAACAGTGTGTGCCGCCATGCCCAGCCTCACAGTCGTAACTTTCAAATATATATTAATATATGATCTAATATATTTCTGTGCTTTTTTTAATTTTATTTATTTTTTGAGATAGGGTCTCATGTAGCTTAGGCTGACTGACCTCTTCTTGCCTTCTTCGTCTCCCAAGAGCTGGCAAAACCACCGTGCCTGGTTTTATGCGGTACCGGGGATGGAGCGCAGGACTTTGGGCGCGTTAGCAAGCCTGTTACCCATTGAGCTATGCCCCAGGCCCTGTTTCTGTAGTTCCATCAGCTCTTCTTTCTGTGCTCTTGAGGATCCAGCCGAGCTCAGCATCGTTTGCTGTACTGTAGCCCTGTATTAGAATCCCATTCAGAGCTAATCCTGTTTCTCATTAGCTTAATACCGTTTCACTTGTAGATTAATACAATAATTTATCTACTCCCAAAATTAAGTCCTTATAAGTTTATCCTAGGAGAGAATTGTACAAAGTGCTATCAGAAAGACTTACCACTTCACTGTTTTTATTCAAATCGTTTTTTCCTTTAGAAGTTCCATGTATAAATAAATATACTGCCAATGTTATCTGTGTTTCTTTTTTTTATTGTCACAGTGAATGTGGATTTTTTCTCATATTATATTTTCTTTGGAATTCCACTGAGCTTTCTATATTCATATTTATGATGCTATTCTAGTAACTTATTACTCCTTTGATTCATATCCCAGTACATCATCTAGAGTTTTTCAAGCAATATTCAACAAAAATGGTGATAAATGGCATCCTTGAGTGTTTCTGATTTAAACGTAACATTAAAAATTGCCGGGCAGTGGCAGCTGGTACAACGAAGATGCATTTTACTTAGGAAGCGGATATTTCCAGTAGTCCAGGAAAGGGCTTCGAGGATGTGTGGTGCAGCTTTGGCCCTCTCAGCTGGGAGCACCATTGGGTACTTGTAAGGAATATCCTGAAGAAACGGTTGGAGGATCAGTGCTGTGGAAGAACATTTCTGGATCTACATCTCTCCAACCGTCTGTGAAAAAGAGAAGTGGGAAGCTATACAGTCTGGTCACTAGATTTCTGTTGTTGAGATATCGCCTCATGGTGTTGTCCTAGCTGGCCTGGAACTTGGGTCTCTTCCTCTGTCTCTGCCACCAAGTGGGATGGTAGGCATGCACCATCACACCTGGCCCGGGGTCTCAGGAGATGCCTGCTGATGCTGATGCTGCTGATGCGGGCCACGTTGTGGGTTTGCGTGTGCCACCATCTTTGTGCACCTGCTGTCCAAGGATGCACCTGACATTTGGGTATTTCTAGCATGTGTGCCACGGTGTGAATAACAACACTCCCTTTCTCTTGTTTTTGGACAGGAGACTCAGATGAGAGGGAACAATCAAAATTGGAAGTAAAAGTTTGGGATCCCAATAGTCCGCTTACGGATCGACAGATTGACCAGTTTTTAGTTGTAGCCCGGTGAGTGTGCCATTATCCAGTAAGTCTTTCTGTGAAGCAACTTATACTTGTATCCAGTTCCTTTTTTTAAAATGTCATTTTATTGTACGTATATGAGTATTTACCTGAATGTATATATGTGTACTGTATGTGTGCCTGTTGCTTTTGGAGACCAGAGAGGATATTGGATCTCCTGGAACTAAAGGAACAGACAGTTGTGAGCTACCATGTGAGTGCTGTGAACCAAACCCAGGTCCTCTGTGACAGTGGCAGTCTCTACAGCCCCTATCCTTCCTCCCTCCCTCCATCCTTCCTTCCTTTTTATTTTATTTTTTTGAAAGCTAGAGTCTCAGTGTGTCGCCTGACTGTTTTTGAACTTACAGAGAACCATCTGCCTCTGCTTTCCTGAGGACTAAAGATGTGTCCTGTCCTGCCTGGTGTATGTCCTGTCTTTATTCTAGCCCCCACCCCATGGGTTGTATTTTTCTTTTTCTAGTCCTGTGAGTAAACCCAATATCTAGTCGCATTGTCCACTAAATAATGTAACTTAAGTGAAAATGTTCAATTAGTTAAGAAAGTAGAAGCAAGGGCTGGGGTGGAGTGTTTGCTTGCCTAGCGTGTACATCACCCCAAGTTTAATCCTCAGCACTGCCAAAAGCCTAGGCCAGCCACGGCAACCAAAGGGATAGCCTTAACATAAATGCATAATTTTTTTTTTTTTAAGTAGAAGCACAAGGAAGATATTGAACACCCGAATCCCAGGTCTTTAATGAACAAAATGCCCTTTATTTTGGATATTGCTGAACTCCAAACTGGATTATTCAGGTGCCAGTAGAAATGTCTCACCCAGTCCAGGGGTGGTGGCACACACCTGCCCCAGTACTTGGGAGCGAAGGCAGAGAGATCAGGAATTTGTAGCTAGCCTGGGATCATAGTGAGTTGGAGGCTAGCCTGGGCTACCTGAGACTGTCTCAGAAAAACCAAGCCCAAAATGAAGGCGAGAGGGAGAAGGCAAAGAGGGGAGAGGCCACATGCGGCTGTGTAAGAGTGAGGCTGCTGCTTGCATGGAGCGGCTTCCCCACAAGGCTTGGTCACCTTGTTTCCTCCTCTGGCTCTTTCCTTAAGCCATGAATGGGGAAAGGGCTTTATTTTCATTCCTTCAGTTGTGAGTAAATGAGACTTCCGGGGAAAACTGCTACCCAAGAGAAAGTGGATGAGATGAGCACACCATTGTAATGGTGGATAAAGTAGAAAAAGCCCTCAATGGGCATCAGCAAGCAACTGAAGAATGAATGGGTTACCCTCGTCCAGTGGGATAGTAAACTTTATGTCCATTAAAATGAGGGAATTTGAATTTGTGTAACAAAGAGGTAAATCCTCAAATATTGAATGAAGGTCCACAAAGTACGATTGTTTATGTGCATATACTGTGTTCATTTATTTGAAAAGACCATGTCGTGCACAAACAGTGTTTGATTTCATGAATGGATATATTGTACATCATGGCTGTAAGAGACTGCAACCATATTTATAATGTTTACTTCCTTACATGAATCTTAGACATGGCCAAATATTAGAATCAGGTCAACCCCAATAATGGGCAGAAGGGTCTCTCCTATAGCCTCTTATTTTCTGTTGAAAATTGTCCTAGACTGTCTTTAGACAGCCTTGTTTATAAGGACAGTCATTGTGGAGGGTCACACTCTATTGGTGGCCAGACACTTAGGGATCAGAGCCTGTCTTAGGATTTTTATGGTGCAAAGACACCTTGACCACAGAAACTCTTATAAGGACAACATTTAATTAGGGCTCGCTTACAGTTTCAAAGGTTCAGTCCATTATCATCATGGAGGGGAGCATGGTGGCATGTCAGCAGACATGGTACTGGAGACGTGGTGCTGGAGGAGTAGCTGGGAGTCCTACATCTTGCAGGCCACAGGAAGTTGACTGAGACACTGGGTAGTATCCTGAGCATAGGAAACCTAAAAGCCCCACCCCACGGTGACACACTTCCTCCAACAAGGCCACACCCACTCCGACAAAGCTACACCTCCTGACAATGCCATTCCCTGTGAGATTATGGGGGCCAGTTACATTCAACTATCACAGAGCCCCATTGCAGGGGCAGCAGCTGGCTAGCAGCACAGGAGGCTGGAGAGTGGGGAGAAGCAGTGAGTTGTGGACATGGCGCTGGAGAGTGGGGAGAAGCAGTGAGTCGTGGACATGGCCCTGGAGAGTGGGGAAAAGCAGTGAGTGGTGGACATGGCGCTGGCAGTATGCTCAGGAAAGTCTCTGAGTGCTGGATTGTTGGGGAGACCTGCAGTTTTCCAGTTTGATTTACACCCTGTTTTTTTTTTCTTTCTCAGACTACTCTTTGCTATCCACATTTATGAAACCTGAATGAGGGTGTCTTTTTTTTTTTTTTTTTATAAAAACTACTTTTAAAATGTTTGATTAAACAAAAAAAAACCCCAAAATACCGAATCTAAATGCAAATTAAAACCAATTATTTTTAGTTTTTGGTTTTTTTTTTTTTTGAAACAGGGTCTCATTCTCTATAGCAAAACTGTCCTCAAACTTGTAGCAATCCTCCTGTCTCAGTTTCCTGGATGAATCCCAGCATGCCCAGCAACCATCCCAACCACATTACTGCAGCTGTAGCCTCACCCGCCCGGCCTTCTTACTGTGTAGTGCTGGGCTGTGACCTTAGTTATACTAGCCAAGCCCTGCACTTGTAAAAGTGCTGAGGTCAGCGCAAGTATAGCACAGTCAGCATCGTCACGTCCACCTGGTGGGACTATAAACCGGTACAGCTCCGCTAAAAAACTGTTTGGTCTTGTCTCCCACACATCCTGTAAACTTTACTGCTGTTATCACCCTCAGGAGACAGCATCCTGGGTCCTGGAAGATGTGCTTGCTAATGGCTGGAGTAGCAGCAGCGTCTACAAACTGGAATGCTGTCTAGTTGAAGGAGGGGCGGGGGACAGAAGAGAATGCCGTTTCAGGGAAAACGCATCCCTATCACTCCAGCTAACAACTGAGATGACTTTCAAAGGATTAAACAAGAGAGAAGAAATAGTATGCGTCTAGGTGTGGGGCCTATGATAGGTTTGTAACCCAGTGCTTGGGAGGCCAAGGCCAAGGATTTTGAGTTGGATAGCAGTCTGGGCTGCATAGTTCCAAGCCAGCCTGGGCTACATTAGACCTTATCTCAAAACAACAACAGCATGTCTCATATAGGTGATTCCATGTCAGCAAAACTAATCGGTGGTCATAGTATCCTGGTGGTGTCAGGCGTGATGGTGCACACCTAGAATCCCAGCACTTGGGAAGCCAAGGTGATGACGTCACAGGCTAGCCTCAGCTCCATAGCCAGGCGCTGTCATGGTGTCATGGTGTGATTTTTATTTTTGTAGTTGTTATTAGATTTTGTTCATTTTGTTTGAAACAGGGTCTCACTGTGTAGCCCTGACTGGCCCGGAACTCACAGAGATCCTCCTGCCGGTGCCTCCTGGATTGAAGATGTGGATCATCACACTCAGCTGTGTTTCTGTTTTTGTTTTGTTTTGTTTCTTAGAATCTAGGATGGTGGTTCCTTTTGGGAAGGAGTGTGGGAAGGGTTGGCCACCTTCTGTTTCTTCATTTGGGTGTTGGTTAGACCCTGGGCATAATCACTTTGTGAGAGCTAAATATCTGTATAGTGTGGTAGGGTTTGCTTTTTCATATATATTAGATTTTAACTAAAATGAATGAGGAAATCTTCCCGAGCTATCGTGTCCAGCAAGGCAGGCAGTCTGTGGATCCTGCACCTCTTGGGGTTAAGGTTCCTGCATACAGAAAGGCTCTAGATTATTACAAATGGAAATCAGTGCTGTGGAAGTTGCTTTTTTAAATGGTGTAGTAAAAATGTATTATTTTGAGCCTCCACAGGAAGTGGTTCTGTTATAACATTCTGTGTGGAAAACGTTCCTGGGATTTCACAATTGATATTTAGGACTCGCTTGGCAGTGGCAGTCAAACTCCCAGCGAGTTTCCTCCTCCTATTTTGAATACCAAATGATGTGTCCCATGGCATTTTAGACTCTCTTCCCTTTCCTTCTCCGTGACCACACAGGTTTGTTTTGTGCTTGCTTGAATGATAATTCCCTACATATGCCGGAACGCTCGGAACCAGAGCGTCTGAGTCCTGGTTTATGCTTTGTTTCTGATCTGGCATCTATGTCTACGTGAAGAGTTGTCTTGGGGACGGGTCCCAAGACTAAACATGGAATTCTTTTATGTTTTGTATGAATCTTACAGAGCCTTAAAGTAATTTCATACAATATTGTTTTTAATGATTTATTATTTTTACTTTATTTTATGTGAATTGGTGTTTCGTCTGCAGGTATGTCTGTGTGAGGATATCAGATCCCCTGGAGGTGGAGTTACAGGCAGTTGTGAGCTGCCTTGAGGGGGCTGGGAATTGAACCCAGGTCTTCTGGAAGAACAGCCAGTGCTCTTAACCACTGAGCCATCTTTTCAGCCCCTACCCCCTCGTTTAACAATACCTTTTTGTTGTCGTTTTGTTTTGAGATAGGGTCTCACAATGTACCCTTGACTGGCCTGGAACTCACTTTGTAGACCAGGCTGGCTTCCAGTTCATAGAGATCTTCCTGCCTCAGCCTCCCGAGTGCTGGGATAGCATGCACCACTACACTACCTTTCATGCAAAATCTTTTTTTAAAAAAAAATTATTTATGTCTATTTCATGTGCATTTGAGGTTTTGCCTGTGTGTATAGTCTGTGTGAGGGTATCAGATCCCCTGAAACTGGAGTTACAGACAGGTGTGAGCTGCCATGTGGGTGCTGGGAGTTGAACCCAGGTCCTCTGGAAGAGCAGCCAGTACTCTTAACTGCTGAGTCACCTCTAGCCCCTCAAGCAGAATCTTAAATGATTTTGTACATGAATCAGAGTTTTATAGCGTGGAATTTCTCCTCATGTGATGTGAAGTTTCAGATTTCTGAAAATTTTACTTCTCAGTTAGGATAACTCTGTTTGTATTAAATCTTAAAGGAGAAAAATACTTTTCAGTTGATGCTTAGTTTCCAAACATCCAACAACCCTTTTTCCTTTCTTTACAGTTTTTTTATTTGTTACTCCAAAATGTAGTCCTCCTGTGTGGTCTCTGCTTTACTTCCTGCTTCCCGACAAGACATAAAAGCCGGGACTGGGGAGGTAGCTCAGTCAGTAAATGCTCATGCTGCTAATTCAGGAAGGCCTAAATTCACCCCCAGGACCCGGATACAAAGCTGAGTGTGTGCTTGTAAGTCCAGTGCTGGGGAGGCAGATGGGGAGGGCCCTGGAGCTCCCCGGCTTGCCGTCCTAGGTGTAAGCCCTTAGCTTCTAATGTGAAAGACTGTCTCAAAAATAAAGGGGACAGCCTTTACCACCAACACTGGAGCTGACATCTGCCTTCTGCATGTGCACACACACACATACATATGACTTTGCATCCCCCCATACACACACACACACACACAAATTATTTAAAAAAAAAAAGTAACAAGCAGGTGTGCTTGTTAGTTTTTTGGCAACTTGCCACAAGTTGGGATCATCTGAGAAGGGGGCACCTCAACTGAGAAAATGCCCCTCTTGGATTGTAAGTCTAAGGCGGCGCTTTCTTGATTAATGATTGATATGGGAAGGCCCAGCCCACTGTGAGCGATGCCACCCCTAGGCAGCTGGTCCTGGGCCATAAGAAAAAACAAGCTGAGCAAGCCATGGATAGCGTGCCAGTAAGCAGCACCCCTCCATGGTCTCTGCCTCAGTTTCTGCTTCCGGTTTCGTGCCTTGGCTTCCCTCAGTGATGTACCGTAGCCTGGGATGTGTAAGCCAGATTAACCTTTCTCTCCCCAAGCTGCTTTAGTTCATGGTGTTTATCCCAGCCCAGGAAAGCAATCTGGAACAGAGGGGCTGGAGAGATGCTCAGTGGTTAGGAGCACTTGCTGCTCCTGCGTTGGGGGACCCCAGTTCCCAGCACCCTCATGGCACCTTAGTTCCGAGGGATCCAGCACCCATGCCCCCCACCCCCCACCCCCCCCCGCCTCCTCCAGCAGCGGGCGTGCACATGGAGCTCTTACATGCAGGCAGGCAGAATATTCATACCATAAAATAAATAAGCAAGATAACCTTTTATTAAAGGAATAACCTACTGTTCTCATCTGTGTTTGCCCTCCTCAGTGCCGTCGGGACGTTCGCCCGTGCCCTGGATTGCAGCAGCTCCGTGAGGCAGCCTAGCTTGCATATGAGCGCGGCTGCAGCCTCCCGAGACATCACCCTGGTAAGATGCCTTTTGCCATTCTGAGGTTTTTCCTTGGCTGCTCGCTTAACTATAATAGAACCATTAGAGCAGTGCTGGAGACTAGGACCTCTCTGACGGTTGGCTGTTGATGTCTAAGTAGATGCAGGCTAGCTGGTTGGTTAACTGGGTTCCTGAGTCACCTTGTTCGTGAGCTGAGACCAGTAAGAAGTGCTAAGGAAGAGGTATACAGTGGGGGGAAAGTTGGCGGGAGGCGAACTCACCATTCTGGCGCCCTGTTTCTTCTCGCTGTGTGCTTTTCTCTGTTCATTTACTTGGTGGTAGACCACTTACAGTATTTTCTTCTTTTTATATGTAAGGAATCCTGTTGCTATCACTATTGAGACTATTGCTGTGGTAACTATGTGTCAATTTTTTTGGGTGAATTTTTAATAACTTTTAGTGCACAAATAATGGACTTTATTATGACATTCTCATACATATTGTATTTTGCTCATATTCATACCTTTCACACACACACACACACACACACACACACACACACACACACACACACAAAATCATCTCAAAAAAATTTTTTTGAGACAGGGATGCATGGCCTTGAACTCACTAAGTAAATGAGGATGGCCTTGAAACTCTGATCTTCCTGCTTCTACCTGTACTGGGATTACTGGTTTGTTGTGGGTTTTATTGTTGTTTTAATTTAATTTTTGTGTGTGTGTGTGTGTGGTGCCTGTGCGTGTACTTGTATGTCATGGGGGTTGGGTGGAGGACGGAGGAGAACTTTGACTAAGTGGTACTAAGCCTGACACTCAGTATTACTCTCCCTGTTTGATGTGGAGATGCTATGTAGTTTAGGCTGGCACTGAACCCCCAGTCTTTCAATTTTGGCCCCACACTACTATCGTGTGCCATCATGCCAGGCTTGAGTGTTGTTTGTAGAAAGCTTTGTTTTTTGTTTTTTCCATCAATGCCTTAGTCTTTCTTCCAAAATATGTTTGTATTTTGGTTGTTTACAACTTGAAGACTCTTTTATCATAGAAGCATGAGTACAGATTTACCTCCCAAACTAGTTTTTTTTTTAAAGAAGATTTTTAAAAAATGTTTTGTGTGTATGGGTGTTTTGCCTGCATGTATTTCTGTGCCACATTTGTGCAGTGCCCATTGAGGCCAGAAGAGGGCGTCAGGTCCTCTAGAACTGGACTTAGGGAAAGGTGTGAGCCTTACGTGAGTGCTGGGGATCAAACCCAGAGCCTCTTGAGATCTTGTTTTGTCGCTCAGGTTTAACGGGGCCTTGAACTCTGGGCTCAGAAGAACCTCTTACCTCAGGCTCTGTGCCTGGCTCGTATTATGTATGTTCTATTACACTTATAAACACTTCTCTTTTGCTGTTTCTCATACTTTTGTATTTTAAACTCCACCGCATCTTTTGTGAACTCATGTACAATTATTCTCTGCTAGAGCTGGTATTGATTGGAGCCGATCACAGGGACCTGCTCTTTTAGAATGGGCTCACATGTTGCAAAATCATTCTGCATATCAGGATGGAAATTTATAATGCATTCTCAGTGTAATCTGCACTGTGTATGTGTGTGCACACACACGTGCGCGCGCATGTGTATGCACATGGAGGTCAGAGGACCGCTTTCTGGCATTTCCCTGTCTCTGTGGGTTCTAGGGATTCAGGTCATCAGACTTAGCAGCAAGCACCTTTACCCTGGAGCCATTGATCTGTTTGTCGTGGCAAAGCTCCACGTAATAAGCGTTGACTGAGGAGCCAAGGCTCCTGGCGTTGCCTGTAACAGAGCTGAGTCCATCTGAAGTGTGCAGCTTTGTCGTCCACCCCTCCTCCTGGGTTTCCCTGATCTGAGGAGTGTAAGCCATGCCTTCCTGCCTGCCTTCCTGGGTGATGGCGGTGGCCGTAATGGGATTGATTGCACTGAGCTTCATACGTTCTGGGCATGTCTTCTATCGCTGAGCGACACCCACCCAACAGAAACTTTCCCTTATCATTTTAAGAACTGGGGAGCTCCCCACCCACCCCCCAACACACCAATATGGCACGCTCTTGCTTTATACAGGTGGAGTGTGATCTGTAAGCCAGACCTTTGTTGTTTAGCACTGTTCTTGGGAAATCGTGCTTGTAAACCTAGGCTTGTTCCCCTATCACACTCTAGCGGGTTCTATCTGCCCTGCTGAGGATCCAGAGTGGGAAAGCCAGTTCCTGACCAGCACTGAGCTGGGTGGCACTTGGTGATTGGAGCTGGTTTGCCCAGTGGTGGTCTGCAGGGGGACCACCTTTGTCCTGTGTGTGAGCTGGGGAAGCCACGGTGACTCTGTCCCATTGCTGGTGAGCACACAGTGCCTCGAGGGGATTTATTTGTTCAGGAAGAGGGCAGAGCTCAGTGTGTGGCTTGTCGGCGAAGGCTCTTCATTGTATACACTGTGTGTTATATAATATCCCAGAAGTATGTGTGTATTTTCCCCTTTTGAGCTGAAGTCTTGCTGTGTTGTCCAGGGTAACTTGAAACTCTTGGGCTCAAGACAACCATCCTGCCTCAGCCTTCAGAGCCATCAAGACGTGAGGTGATGCCACCATGCGGGGTGTGGACTATTTATAAAAGACGCGCTTTAAAAGGACTGATTGTAAACATCTGTGTATTTACAAAAGACCTACTTTCACTGATTATTATTGTGTGTATGACGTGTGGGTGTGTCTGTGCCCTGTCACCTGTGGTGTGTGGGCGTGTCTGTGATGTGACACATGTGTGACGTAAGTCAGATGACTTCTTATCCTTCTGCCTCCACCCTCACGTGCTAGAATTAACATGTGTGTGCACTCTATAACAGGCTTTTAAGAAGGTGCCCTCCAACCCCTCCAGTGTTTCCATTTACTTTCGTTAGTCATTTGGAAATCACCTTTACATCACAAACATTATTTTCAAAATTTCAGTAATAAATAATTCAAGATAAATAAATTTATTTATTTAGAGACAGTCTCACAGTGTGGCCCTGGCTGGCCTGCACTCAGTCTGTAGACCAGACTGGCCTCAAATTCCCAGAGATCCACTTGCTTCTGCCTTGGACGTGCTGAGATCAAAGGCGTGCGCCATCACACACACACCAGCTCATTACGCTAACAATTTTTCTTTTTTTAAACAGAAGTGGACTTGGAGGCTTAGGCAGTTGTGGGCTGGCATGGTGATTCATATCCATTCTTGTCTCTACCAAGGCCTCGCCTGCTCCACCAGCTGCCCTTCTACCCACCTTCTGCCTCCTCTTCATTAGAACACTTAGGCTGCTGTCCTTCTTGGTTAGATATTCTTGAAGATGTAGGGTGTGTGTGAGAAAAAGAGACAGACAGAATGACACACAGAAATAGAGACGGGTGGAGAGACAGACAGACAGAAAACTAATGCCTTGGCTTCCTGTTTAAACTACTGTGGTTTCAGGTTCACTTGGACTCTCTAGGTCCTGGGAATTTATGTATAAACTGAGTGGGCCTGGTTAAAACTGGGGCTTAAACTATGGGTACAGAGTTTGGGGATGACGTGCCAGAAGGGACGTGTGAAAGGGTCAGAGTGGCCTTCTGCTGTTGATTTTTCTTGGGAATGTTACGGGGAGAACTCCAGCAGGCTTTAGAATTCCTAGACCATTTGTTCATCCAGGACGCCTGTACTTCTTGTCAATCACCAGTAATATTTTGGGGGCAGGCAGTTGTACATGCCTGGTTCTGACTTCCTCATTTGCAAATTTCAAGTGTTGCCAATCCAAGATGTGCAGGATTTACATTGTTAAGAGATACAGAAGTCCCTGGGCATGGAGGTGCACCCCTGCAATCCTAGCTCTTGGGAGGTAGAGGCAGGCAGATCAAGAGTTCAAAGTCAATTATGAGACACTGTCTCAAAAGGCAAACCAAACATAATGCAGAGCCCCAGGGGAGGTGATACATGTCTTAATTCCAGCTCCCACAGGACAGATAGGCAGACGGATCTCTGAATTGAGGTGTACAGAGTGAGTTCTAGGACAACCAGGACTACCTAGAGAAACCCTGTCTCGAAAAACCAAAACTAAGTCAAACCAAAACAAAGCAAAATACATTGAACTCATACATGTCACTTACTTCATAACATAGAAAGTATTTTATCTAGTATAGAGAGGGGAGAGCATCGGTTTGAAATGCTGACAGCAGCTGACACCCTCTCCCCTGAGCCCCTCACTTGAGGGATGGTCAGTATTATAGTCAAACCATGCCTCACTGTCGAGGGGAACATTATGGAGGTCTCACACAAAGAAAGGTGACTGTGGAGTCATTAGGCAATGGGACCGTGGCGCCAGTGTTGTGTGTGACATGTATACAGTCTGTCTTGGACTGAAACATCGCTGGACTGTTGTGACTGGGATTGGTAGCGTGCCAGGCTACTTCTCCCTCAGTGTGTGGTGTTGACCACAAGGCCACCCACCTCTTGGCCTGCAGAGTGGCGCCAGCATTGTTAGTGACCTGGTGTCTCACTGCTGGAGAAATAGGGCTCTGGCTTTACTCGCCTGCCTGGACTCTGAAAACTAAGTCATTTGGGCAGCAGAGTCAAAGAAAAAGGAATTTTTGTGCTGTAGCATTGAAAACCTGGTATTCTCCAGGTGGTGAGCCCAGGGCACAGCACGGTCAATAAACTGCACAAGGACTCGTCTCTTTGGATTCGTGACAGGCAGGGGTAGAGATAAGACTTCCTGGTGACAGGTCTGGACTGAGGAAGGCTGGCTGTGTTGGTTCAATAAGAGATGGACTCAGATACTGGGGCAGCTCTAATGCCTGTAACGCGGCAGATCTTGTAGAAGTGCACCTCTTTTCCCCGCTCCCACCCAGTGAGCCTGGGGTATTTCATTGTATTTATGACAAAGTGCAAATCCCCGTTATACACCCCCCCCCACCCCCCCCCCCCCCCCCCCCCCCCCCCCCCCCCCCGCAAGACTCTGAGTGTCCTGTGGACTCCTGTCAAGCAGTTTCCTGGCTTGGATTTCTT